TTTTTGTGTTAGTGAGCACTTCTCTTTTGCTGAGATAATCCATCCACCTCACAGTTGTGGCATATCAAGGTGTGGGGCCTGTGGAATGTTAGTCCACTCCTTTTCAATGGCTGTGCAAAGTTGTAATTCTGAATTGCGAGATATAAAGTCAGAATCGTTAGATATAAACTTTCAATTGTGAGATAAAAAGTCAAAGTTATCTTTTAAAATGGTTTATTCTGTGGCAGAAACAAGCTTCCATACGTTGGTACTGGCCCTTTGTGTCTGATGTGTGAAAATATAATTTCCTCACAGTTTGGTTGGAACTTTTTCAAATGAAAGGATACAAAACTGTTATTATCCCCCATAGTACTAGATTAAATGTCTGAGCCCTACATGAGAATGAATGGAAAAAGCGAGAAAGAGGGAGGAAATGGGAGGGAAGGGAAGGACGAGCAGGTGAATAGAGTGCACAGTGTTCTGTGGGCCTGGGTCAGGTTTCTGGGTCAGTTCTGGTAACACCACTGCCCGGCACTTTGTTCAGGTTCAGTCTGGGTGACTGCAACTGTGAAGCACTGGGCCAGAACAGTAGTACCCACCTCTTACTCGAGCCTTAAATCTGTGTGTATACGTGAGCTAGAGACAAACAGACACAGATCTGCATCTCCATGCTCTCTGCGTATTCAGTGTTTTGAGCTCAATCGGAAGGAGACAACTGAAGCAACAGGACACGAGACAAGCCTGCTGTCTGGTAAACACATTTACTGATGCCTTTCATTGACTTGATCTCAGCTCTGTCTGAGGATGCAGTGGTGGTGTAGAGCAAAAGTCACATTTCAGCTTCCTACAGTTATTTTTATTTAACTTTTAAATTAGAATGCATTTTAAAAGATAATCTCTGATCATGTACTGCAGTTGTGCTGTATATAATGTGTATTATACTACTGTACATCTACCTAATTTAGATCTAGGTGCATTTCTAAACTTTTTAGCATAATGTCAAAAACGTGAAGTCTTCTGACCTAGGGAGATTGCAAATGTCTATTTCCAAGAGCTGTAGCCAAAATGTCATTTGGGTGTTTTACGTACATGTCATTTTATTATGTGTTTAACCAGGGCATTCTGAATTCTTTCTATGGAATTAGTGATATTTAGGCAGGTAATTATTGTAGTTGCTTTTATGACATTATATTTAATGAAGAGTACATGCAATATTTGTATTATTATTTTTAACATTTCTCACAGGACTAGTTAAAATGATCTAAAGAGAAGCAAAAAAAAAGCCTGTTCAGTTCTTTATTGTCTTTCTTTTTGTCCATTGTTGTTAAATTTACCTTGCTTTTTACATAACCCTGTGAATCAAAAAGTCTTCTTGTCTGTCTTGGGAATCTGAAGAGAAAAAAAAGCAAAAAAAAGGTGAATGGTCCAAAAGCCTCTCTATTGCTGACAAGGTCATAGTGATCTCCATTAAAGGCTTACCAGTAGAGCACAGCCTTAACCGTTACCAAAGACACCTCCAGCTCAGGTGACACTCAATCCTCCATGCTCTTCAGATCCCCTTAAACAGGAGCAAACATGCTTTACAGATATACTACGCATTCATGACATGATGCCTTGATAAAATGAATGTCTGTCTCTTTATTTGCAATTTTAAACCTCTCGATCTCAGGATCATTTGAACTCAAAACCATCTATTTCTGTCCGCTCTGTTGATCTTGATTGTGAAGTAGTGCACCAGGGGCTCTGGGGTTGTATTGTGATACGGGCTCCGTGTCCTATGGTTTACCCTGTCTCGCTCCCATAAGGGTTTTCAGTAATGTGGGGGTTGGCGGCACAGGGCCTGTGTTCAGCAGAGCCTCTCTTTGCATGGGTTGGGGTAAAGTGAGCACTATGGTTGGGTTTGTGTTGAATGGTGGAGTGACACCAGCAGGTCAAGGTGGAGTATTACCCTCCTGAAGCAGCCCTTCCTCTCACGTTTCCGATGGGTATCGGCCTCTTGCCTTGCTGTGGTCTGCATAACTTACTCTATATCCTATGCTCCAGTCTGAAACATAAGAGAGACTGAATTTCCTTTATGCCTTGTTTGTCTCAGAGGTTCTTGGGTAATTATGACCAGTGTTGGGGAAGCTACTCTGAAACTGTAGTTTGACAAGCTACAAGCTACTCGTAAGTTAAAGTAGTTAAACTACAGTCAAGCTACTCTTTTGGAAAAGTAGTTAGCTACACTACAAGTTACTATCAAAAAGTAGCTAGCTACATTTAAACTACTTTTGCTTTTTTGAACAACGTATTATTAATAACTGAATAAGTGTCTGAGGACAGAAGGGGACAACAATACTTTTTGAAATCATAATTTTATTGCATTGTTTTAAACACTAAAACAATGCAATAAAATTATGATTTCAAAAACTATTGTTTTATTACACACAACACCCAAATATCTCAGATTGTTTGTCAAAAGTGCAAAATTGTAACCAATAGGCTACAACATTGCAAGAAAAAAATATACATCCAACGTAAATTGCATGTAGAACATTTTCTCAAAAATACCGATTAAACTTGGACAAATAAGGCCATGGGTAATTAACTTTAGTTGTTTCTCCATCCTCCAAATCTGCTGTCACATCTTGCTCCATCATCATGTGTGTGTCAACACACTTCTGTACGTCAGTAAACTGTTAGCCGCAGATGTGTGATTAAACAACAGGTGGCGGTGATGGCAAAAAAATGAGTTTGGAATCTAACAAGAAGAAGAATATCCTAGCAGCGCGCTGATTCGCGCAGGCTCGACAAACACAATGTAGCTTTTGCTCGAGCTACACCGCTACTTGCTGCAAAAAGTAGTTAGCTACTGGAAAAGCTACACTGTTTAAAAAGCAACTGAGCTACTGCCAAGCTACTCAAAAATGTAGTTAAGTTAGTAGCTTCGCTACTTGTAGTTAACTACTCCCCAACACTGATTATGACAGAGGTGTACAGCAGCTCCAAAAACTACATGAATGTGTTTTTGCTCTCTGTCTTTACAATAAATAACAGTAGCATTTATATCTTGTTATATAGTGCAAAGACATCCGGACATTTTGAAATGACTTTTTTGGCACCACTGTATATTAAAGGTGCTATATGTAGAGTTCATAAACCCTTCTTATTAGCGACACCGGTGGCTGTTAAGTGAAATGCAGCCAGCCAGCAACTTATTCCTCATACACACTTAACATATAAGAGGCTGACCGTGATTCATACGCACGGCGAGGCTCTTTTCCTTCTTCGTTTAGAAGTAAAAAGAAATACATTTGCAGCTATGCGGTTAATGAACATCCATCCCATGTAAATATGTGCTGCACACTTTCTTCTCAACAACAAAATAAACACATGACAAAAATGACACTGATGAGAAAGCAGTAGTTCAGAAAGCATCTGATCACAGTGATGTGGATATGTTTGCACCAACTCTGCGATTCATCAGCATCATATCAACAGATTACTCTGTTATTTGATTATGAAGTATACTTGAGACTATAGACTACATTGATCTGGCTATGTGAGACTATAGTTTGAATTAATCCCTTTTCTTTGCATGACACATAGACATTAAAGTACAGGGCGGCTCTTTCATTGTCATCCTGAACATTGTATAAGCATTTGTTTCATCTCCTTGTCCTTTTGATTTTCTCAGAACAACCGGCCCAGGTCCTTCACATAAAAATCAGTCTACAGGCTTTCATAGACAACCTATTCTTATATAGCCACTTTAAGTATTGCACAACTTTGTAGCAGAAAAACACTTTTAACGTGAACTGACTCTCTGTTTTTATATGTAACCATCCGCTGGACTGACGTCTTTGACCCAGCATCTTGCGTATGAGAGCCTCGTTTTTTTAAGACGCTGTGTTAAGTTTTAAAAAGCCGTCTCTGTGAATGACCCCTAACACATCACACACACATTCCCAGAACTAAGCTTGTCATGGTCACTGGGTGCCAGTAGCCTTCATTTTACCTCAAAAGCAGCTTCAATGGATAAGCCATTTCCCATCAGAAAACAGTTGATGCTGAAGTGAGCTCCTGAGATTATCGGTGCTCTTTTGGACAAAAGCTTTTTTGGATTGACACCAAACAGATTGGAATGAGACTCTGATTTCCTGACTGAGTCTGTTATATTAAGCTGGCAGGTTCTGGACTCAATGAATGCTTCAGAAATCTAGAATCAAACACCACCTGTAATACTCACAAACTATTCCGTTACAAAGACTAAAAACATGACAAGTTTTGATCCAAGTAGCAGGTTTGATAAATCCGCCTTTAAGGTGTTGTTATATATCTATGAAAGCCGTGTGCTTGGCACCTGTCCATCCATTAGTGCCAGAGAGTTGCAGAAGAAATTCTCCCTAGATCATGTGTCACGTTGCCCCCGAGTCCAGCCGTCCAGCTGAAAGACTAGTATTTTTTCTGTCCCTGTTTGCAATTGG